AAGGTCGATTCCATAGATATTATGCAGTTTTTGATTTAATTATTTTTTTATTTTTGAACAATAGATTTTAGATGTGGATGAAATTCAAGATTAAAAATATAAAAATAGATGTGAAATAAGAATAAGATAAAATAGATGATTTTGAAAGACTGTTTGAAAATAAGATAAAGGTAAATAATACAAAAATAATAATAAATATAATAAAATAATAATTTGAGTTTGAAAAGAAAATTATTTGTGAAAAGTATTATTAGGCTTTCAGTTTTGACTCGGTTTCTTTAGATTATCGAAATAGATCTTTACTTCATGATCTACGCCGGTTACTTGTCTACAATGACAAATCCTTGTGACTGTGCTTTGTATACCGAATACTCAAGTGTTATCTTTAATATCGGTTTGTGAATTGATCTAAGCAACAACAATGTTGTATATCTAAAAACGTTGAGGCCCGAAAAGCTGCCGACTCGGATTATGTTGTTTTAACAATAACTGATTTCGATCTCAGTTTCTTCTTAGCTAACAATTTTGCTAAGTGTGTTCCCAGGAAGTCGAATGTGCTTCAATAAGCCGATCCTTCCTCCCACGTTAACCATAACAACATCCAGATCAATGTCGACTTTTAGCTTTGAAAATTGTTTTGATTTAAAATTAAGCCCAAAAAATAGAGAGAGATATCCGAAACGATTTAAGTGCCTTACAATTCTCACGCTTGGAATTGAGCCATCGCTTTAACCTTCGATTAAAGAAAATTAGCTAAGCATGACAAAAGTCATACTTAACCTATTTAAAAATAAAACTTAAAATTAAAAAAAATGAAAACTTGAAAAGAAAATAAAAGAGAGAATTTTTTAAAGCTAGAGAGAAGAAGAAAAGCAAATTCTCAGTTGTTGAGAGATATGTTTTTAGGCTTATCCTGAGAAGATATTTATAGCTTTCAAAATACTAAAAATAAGGTAAAAATAATTCTAAAATAAAGAAATAAATCCTAATTAAAATACTTAAAACTATTTAAACTAAAATACCTAAAATAAAGATAAGATAAAATATCATATTTAAAATAATATCCTAAAACATGAGTTTAAGTTAAATCTGAATTACAGAAACGTGCGACTGATCCATTCGTTCTTCTAGAAGCGTTGATTGGACCTTCTAGAAGGTGTTGATGTCATCGCCATGTCATATGCTTCATGCCCAAAATCATGCCCACTTATCCAACTTTGATTCCGAAAATAAAATAAAAAAACTATAAAATTTTATCATTTTAGTACAATTTTCATAATCTAATGTCCAACACAACAAATAAATCAAAACGAATAAATAAACCACAAAAACCAATATTAAAAATAATTTAAAAATAAAATATTAACTAAATAATACACTTATCAACATCAATAAAAGTAGTTTTCTAAAAGAAATGTCTTTGGAAAAGTTTTTTCTAAAATAAAATATATCTGTCTGTGACAAAAAGATATAAATCAAAAAATAATTTAAAATGAATGTCGAAGTGAAAAATAATTTTAATGGATGATGATTGAGTAAAAAAGGCAGCTATGATATTCCCTTATGCAAATCTGCTAATGTTAATATGAGGGCTGATAAAAATAAAAATAAAAATTCTTTGGAGAGAGATGAAACTCTTACTGAGGTAAAAGATTTTGTTTTTGTTCATTTTACTATGGTAAACTCGACATTTGAGAAAAGTCGAGCAATCGATAAGAAACGAATATTTTGTCAAATATTTAGGCAAAGATTAAAGGATAGCGAGTTCAGTTGCAATGCTTTTGCCTTTTGGTGCTCACTGTCACTGCGCAGACATACTGAAAAGCCTTCACAGGCCTAACAATTAATGGTGGAAACTTCCTTTTTGGAGATGTTCTTTACTCTTAGATTTTTCAGCTCAGAAACTTGCCTAGAACTATCTCCAGCTAGATCTTACCAAGCTTGTAAGTCCCTTTCATTCCAGTATTCCCGTAGCTTTTAGTACTTGGTACCATCTTTTCCTTGATGGGTTTCTCACTTACGGTTGCTAGTTATAAATCTGATGTCTTTTTGCTTTTATTTTTTTCAGGCTGAGATATGGGTTTATGCAGTGTGTTATCAGTTGTTTCTTTATTTTATGATTGCTTCGATGCTTCTCCTCAAATGGGTTTTTGTTAATAGATCAGGGTTTAGGGTTGTTTCATCTCACTGTGGCCTGCCCTCTGCCTTTTATTTGTTTGTTTCAAAATGGGGTTTGCTTGAAATCTTCTCTATTAGTCATCAAAAACTTGTCTCTAACTTTATACCTCGATAGGCTTGCTAAATTCTGTTCCAGTTAGCCATTTACTGAAGTTGAGATAGCTTAGTTGGATGTAGTGTGCTTTCGTCTTGTTGCACTTATTGATATGTTAAAATCTTTTCAGTTTCCTTTTCAAATGATGTATATGTCCATGCATGCAAATAGAGAGTAGAACATTGAAGGGTTTAATACGACTTAAGAGGAGCTTTGATTTTTTTTTCATCTTGGACGCTTGAAAATCGTTTGTTGTCCTGAGATAATCATAGAAAATTCTCATTTGTCTATTGGAATTTTTTTTTGTTATTGTTTTGCTGTAGAATCAAGTAGTAGCTATGAAGATGAGGTCTTATTCGGATAAAAACTCGATGTCTGAAACCGACATAGGATCAGCCGATTCGCCTTTTTCTTGGCTTTATCATTACAACCCCACATCCAAACCTGGCTTAAGCTCTCTGCATCGACGCGATGAACCTGGTCTTGTTGTTACACCCATTCGTACCATTTGTCCCACAACTGAATCAGGGAACAAGAATGATTGGGAGACTAAAATCACACAGGTGAGGAAACATAAGTATTCTGTGAAGGGCTCTAATCAAATAGCATCCAAGGTTCTGGGGCCAAAGCAGCCCATGAAGAAACCCTCTTTTCCCAAGAAGGTGAAGGGACCAAACATTCCGGAAGCCAAACGTGAGAAGAATAATCTCAATGTCGATCTTAACAGAACAAAGTTTGATTTCTCAGGGGTGCCTTCCCCCATTTGCTCTTGTACAGGTGTTGCAAGAGTGTGCTACAAGTGGGGTGCCAGTGGTTGGCAATCTTCATGTTGTACCATTAATATATCGAAATGTCCTCTTCCCATTAGTCCCACCAGGCCCGTGCTCGTGTGGCTGGGAGAAAGATGAGCAATGGGGCATATTTCAAACTTCTACTGAGACTTGCAGCTGAAGGTTATGATCTTTCTCATCCTGTTGACTTGAAAGACCACTGGGCCAGGAATGGCACAAACAAGTTCGTTACTATCAAATAGAGATGCAGATGGCTGGTATCTGCGCATGATATTTAGTAGTTTCATATATATGTATGACTCTGCTTTCTAGTTTGAATGTATTTACAGCTTTCTCGGAAAACATGAATTCTGAAAATATATGTAGCCAAGTATTAGTTGCTCTGTTCATCTGAGTTCTAATGTATGGTCCATATACGTATGACATGCAAAAGTTTAGATATCAAAAGTGAAGGTCAGTCATAGATATAGGAAGAAATATCTTAGTTGATTTATCTGCCATGGTTTTTATTTCTATCGTGGGTTTATTATACATTCTTTTAGCATGAGGTGATGCACCAAATATCGTTTCAACATACCAAGTTTGAAGGATTTAAAGCCTTATCATTCCATTTCCAATTGTAGAATTCCCAGAATATTGAGGGAGGGAGCATTCAGTTTTTATATCTGACATCAGGTTGCAGAAAGGTTGCTCCAAATACAAGGAAAACGTCTCGTTTTGGCCACACTTCTATAACCAAATCCTCACATTTCGAGTAAAAAGCCAAAGATCATAACATCATAAATGGTTACAAATTACGGGGTAATAGAAAAGGAGAGATGATGTCAAAAGTGCTCGTCTTATATGAACTTCTTAAGTTGAAATTCAACTCATTTTATTTCTCTATATCACAGATCTCAACTGAATTACAACAGAAAATAAATGCATGGGATCATACTCAATTCTTATGATAGCAACAACAGCTCAACAGTCGAATGAAGCTTGAAAGAGGATAATTTGTTTTGAACACAAGGTCTAGTCCAATGTATGCAATCTCAGGCTTTGGTTGCTTCTAGTGGAGCTGCAGTTTTGCTGGAGGTAATTTGCTCGTAGAGATCTCTTATCTTCAATCCGACAATGGTTTGGAAGAGGCTTGGTTCCGTTGTTACTTCCGGGGAAATCAGCATGCTTCAACATTTGCAGGGTAACTTCTCCATAGAACTTGGTAGAGAGGTTGCTCAAATGGCTTTCAACATAAATAAGTTCATCTAGTCTGTCAAATTGCCCGTCCATCTCCAGAATAGAAACCTAAAGACAAGCAATGAAACCATCAAATTCCGTCGGTTGAGCACAGTCGACTAGATGGAGAAGGAATGTTATGGTACCTCATTGCCGAAGTAAGAGCAACTGAGCTTCCTTCCGCAGGGTATCCATGAGATGGTTGAACCTTCATCAAACAGGTAAGCTGGACTGAAATGGTCCACCCCTTCTTTCATGATCAACCTAACTCTCAACCTTCCCTTTATAACAACCATAACCCATATGTATATCGTAATATGAGCCACATATGTCACATCAATCAACTGATCTTTCTTGAACTTAAATGCTTAAAATTTTTTGTTTCATTTAATAATTCCTTTTTTACTTTAAATTTTTTTCCTTAATCACATAAATTTATAAAATACTGTTTGATTATTGAAAACTAATTTAATTTCAGTCAGTAATTAGACAGTTCAGTGTTGTTTCACACCAAAATACCGCTGCCTAAAACTGTTTGATTTTAAATCATTTAAAATTTAACATTTAAATTATTCACTCATAAATACTATTAATACTAAAATTAGACGAAATTAGAGAAAATAACCCTAATTACTATTAAAACCTTTTTTAAAATAAATTTGATAAAGCAACCCAACAAATATAATGTACATGCCACTAATAGGTTAAAGTTAGGATGTCTTACTGATACTGTCGGTAGGTTTGATTTTGTATAAGATGTTGGCAAGCTTCTCACTTCACGACCTCTACTTTATTGGAACCTACGCATCAAAATCCTCACGCGCTAAGTAAAACTTAGTGAGGCATAAATATAACTAAAGTGATATAAAACCATAAATTCCATAAAATATAATAAACAAACTGTAATTTAAATAAAAACATTAAACTTCAGACCGGACCAATCAAGTCGTTTTCCCTTCTAAAAAACATGAAAAATCATCATCTCATGATTTTATCAAAAAATAATGTAAGTCAACATCAAATATCATAAATAACTTTTGTTCTTTTTATTCAAACATATTTCAAAACTTTCTTTTCAATTCTATGTTCCTTTTTTTCATATACTGTCATAACTTTCATGTTTATTGTTATAACCTAATGTATATGTAAAAGAATATAAGGTACGTGAGTTTAAGGTGTGCACTGGGCACAACACGGTGCCGAATCGTAACTGAAACTGAGATATGATGCACTTCAGTGCAATCATAACCTAATTGAGCACCAATGATGTTGAACATTGAGACACGAATATACCAAAGTTGAACTGATAAGTACTCACTTAATGACATGTCAAATGTACCTACGACTCTCAATTCAACATGCAATGGGTTTATATTTATCATCATATAATCATTTATTAATATGTATCTATAACTGTAAAATATCTTATTTTTGTAATTATCTAATAATTGGAAATATCTAATAATTGGAAAATCATCTGATAACTGTAAACATTTAGAATTCATCATCGTAAATATCATACTTGGTCATACCCAAAATCATTCATAAAACTTGATGAAAACTTTTATAGAAATATTCCATACTAAAAATTTATAAATCGTACTGGAAAATAAAATGAGGTTAACTTATCGCAAGTCTTTCTCGACTATAATAATCAAATAAACAAATTGTACTCACTTTAACACTTTATTATTATTATTTTTAAATCAAAATATGAGTCTCACTAAGCTTTAGATTTAAATCATTTGCCTTCCACTATTTTCAATATACAATTTATCAAAATTCTATATTCTGGCAGTTGCACTATCTTCAAAAAATATTATTCTGCATTAATTAATATACTGAAAAATTATTCTATTTGTACTAATGAAAACTAGACTCAAATACAAATCTAACCATATAAGGCATTATGTTTAGTTCCACTTGTACAATTTATAACGAATTTTCAAAGTTGATTGATAGAAGTTGTTTCTACAAAATCTGCTGTCATGTTTTCTGACCTATCACCGATTAATGTTTCATATCTTTTTGTGTACACCTCAAAATCAGACTCCGTCTATTTTAAACAAAGCTATACTGATATACGAATCTGACGATATAAAGATCAACCTCTATCAATTCTTTATAATTTATGGTGAATTTCTAAACTCACTATTTGAATTCTAATTTATAGACAACTTTCCTTAATTAGCATCCTTAGCTTAATTTCATAATTCTATAAGCTTAATAAATGAATCTTTAGGCTAGAATCACAATTCACATAATATTAGGAGTTACTTCTTACTGTAGTAACTCCGTCATTGGCTCATCGCAAGCCAATATTTGTACGATAATACAAACACGAATTAAATGCACTTACATTTGCCTCGCTATCTAACCTTCTCCACGATAGTCTTCTTGATCCCATAATTTTTCCTTCCCATCAAGCTACTTGAATCACTAAATTTACCTTGATCTGACAACATTATATAATAACATAAAATATTCAAACTATATGCTAGCATCAAACTAACATAATCTAAACTTAAATAAAAAAATTTGATGGAAATAAATATGATACTTAAATCGATATAAAACTAAATCGTACTTCTATCGTAACTTTCAAACTTCTCAAAATATTTTCCTTAAATTCCAAAAATATATATATAAATATATATTTCCATTATCAACCCTTCAACTTTTGCTAATTATACAATCAACCCACTAATATGAATTCTTTCTAGAATTCACCTTAACTTCCCATTAAATTCATAATAGCCTTTCACTGTTATGGTCATGTCACATTAATCACATAAAATTTCCAGCACCTTAATAAAATATTCAAATCAATACTTGAATATTTAAAAACTTGCAATTTCATCCTTAACTTTCTAAAACTTTTCAATTTCAACCACCCAACTTGATAAACTTGAATTCGATCCCAACTCAACATTTAAACTCAAAAGTCACATAAATAAAATTTCCGTAAATGTATTATTTTACCCAAATGGTACTTTCACATTTAAAAACTTGAAATCAAGTCCCTATATTTTTTGGACTTTTTGAATTCCACCCCTAACTTTTACCTAACTTGAAATTTGGTTCCAACTAACTTTGCAACTTAATTTTACAGCATCTTAATACTAAAAATTATCATTGAATACTCCAAATCTCACATTTATACAATAATGTCCCAAAATCCTTAAAACTTGTAAAATAGCCCTTTTTCACTTTCAAGGTTCCAAATTGATCCAAATTGATCTCCAAGTCACTTATAACACTTTTAATATCAATTCTAAATCATAGGGAATTTTTTAGTATTTTTACCTAATTTTCCCCTTTGGTCAAACCATAAATATAGTCTTACACTTGATTTTTAACAACTTTCATGCTTGATTTCAACTTCACAACACTTCTAACATCAATAATCAACCTTAAATCATAAGAATCACACTTCCCCTTCATCCACATCTCACCAACTTAAACATAAAACAGAATATTTTTATGCCAAATGAAAGAGAATTTCATGTAGGTTATTTTATCCTTAATAACCTAACTTAAAATCTTAATAAAAATGGACCAAAAAAACAAAAAACAAGCTCACCTTTGGCTATGGAGGTTCGGTAGATTGCTGGAAGAAAGAAGTTGATTTCTTGAAAATTCTAAGCAATTATATCCTAACTTGACTTTTAAAAGCTAATTAAATTAAATTTTTAATTCAATTTAATCCAAAAGTCTAAATTGCCCTTAATGAATCCCTATTTTAGCTCCATGCCACTCCTTTAATTATATTTTAATATTCTTAAATGGATGTACAGATCTCATCTCTAAATTTCCCTTTTTGACCATCAAATTTTTCAAAATTTTATTTTAGTCACTAAAATTTCACTATTCGGTCAAATCTAAAATATTACAATGTTATAAGCCAAATTTCTCTGATCTAAAATATGAAAATAATATTTTCAACCATTTTCTAACATCCTTAAAATTTTCGTAAAATTCCAGTTTGATCCAATTATCCGATTTCAATATTAAATTTTATCGCTTTATAACTTTTAATACAAATCACGTACTGAAAATCTGATTCCCACAAAAATCCTCGTTTCAGGCCAAACTTTTCATTTACGAGCTAAAATCTATATTTTTTAAAAATTACATTTTTGGTCCCTATACTTTTACAAAGTTTATACCCCCTTAAACTTTCAAAACTTACATTTTAGTCACTATTCAAAATTTGGGGTATTACACCTTCTTTGTCGTCCAAAATGACTTGATTCAGTAGCACTTCGATCAAGACATCAGCGTGAGAGCCTTAACTTGCTCATACATGAGGTCAAAGTCGTTGGCTCTTGGGTCAAGTGCCGTCACCTCTTCTCTTTCCTCACGGTTCTGTCGAGTGAATGATAATCGTCTAACCCTATCACGGTGGTCATATCACTAATGAGTGTGTTTGAGTCAGGGTTACCTCCTTTCGGTGGCTCAGTAGTACCGCCGAACACACTCGTTAGTCTCCTCATGAAGGTAGTCTTCCCACACCCCGAGCAGCCAAATCGATCACCACTGTTTGTGAATCACTGGCTAAGCATGTTATCACACATGAGTCGCGCCTCTCTTAGTGGTTCTTCTATAGAAAATTAGTTATTTTTGGTGGAAACCTAAATGGGTTTTAGTTGGTGTGGAGATTGAACACGTTGAATTCAGAGACTGTGTGGTGCATATCGTCGAAACCGTCATTTTTTTGTCGTCACCGTTTTTGTTCTGGGTGGAAAAAAAAATTAGTATAATTGGTTTTTTTTTTTGAAAAAGTTTGTGAAATGTTATAAGTCGCCACCAACCATTTTTAAGGTGCGATTGGGACACCTAAAATCAGGTAATTTAATAAAATATTTTATTTTATCAAAATATCAAGTTTGCGGTCTACGAAAACCATAAAATAAGTCCAGAAGTCGATTACGTGTGGGGAAGGGTTAACACCCTCACAGCGCCCGAAAATTGGTACCAAGTTGATTACTCTATTTTAAAATTTGGAAATTTGGAAATTTGGAGTTTGAAGTTTTATTTTATTTAGAAATCACTATAGATGCAAAGTTAAAGAGGGTGCTTATTTATTATAGTCAATAATTTTCACCCCTAACATAAATGTGGGAGATTAATTATTGTGCTCAATAACCAGATATTGCCTCGAGATTTCAAAAATGAATGGGTTTTTAAAAGAATGTTGGCCTACTTCGGGAATCACCAGTGGTAGCCCCCAGAGCATGATAACGGGGACTATACTATTGATTCCCTAATAAGTCAACATTGTCTTGTGTTTGAAATATAAATGCAATCAATCAATAGGTTTAAGAACATAATTATACTAAGTGAGTTTATTAAGGACTTCCTAACTTAAAGAGTCAATTTATGAAAATTAAAGATCTTTAAGGACTAATCCTAAAGTGAGGACTCTAATATTAATCCCAACTAATTTTTAACCAGTTATTTAATCGAATAATCGAATTAGGCCCTCGGGCATGTTGATACGAGGGCCAATTAAGATTTTTCCCTAAATTAAAGGACTAAAATGAAATTAAACCTAATGTCAAGGCTCTAATTGTTAATCTAATCAATTATGTCAAAAGGATAATCTAGTTAAAAGTTTAGGGACTAGAATGTGAGAAGTCTAAAGTTGAGGGACTAAATCTATGATCTAAGGTTATATCCATTAATCGAATTAATTATTTTATTCGGAAAGTCAATTTGAATCCTTGAGCATGAAGGCAAGGACCAATTTGAAAATTTCCTATTTTAAAGGACTAAAATGTAAGAATCTAAACCTAAAGAATTAAACTTGAAATCTAATTATTAACATTTTAAGATAAAAAATAAATTTAATTAAATTTAAATTAAAAAGAAAATATACCTTAATGAATGTACCTGAAAAAAGTTAGAATACTTATTAAAACAATCTAATTTAAATAAATAATTTAAAGGAAAAAGAATAAATAAATAAATTTAAAGAATTGAATAAAAATTAAATAAATATAAATTTGAAGAGATTGGTTGAATAACCTAAAAAATAAAAATAAAAAACATTAGAAGAATAAATTAAAATAAGGACTAAAATGTAATAAAATATAAAATAGAGAGGATCAATCGAAAACAAAACAAACAGCATAAATAATGACAAAATTGTAATAAAATAAGATAAAGAACCATGATTAGAAATAAAAAAGGGAAGATCAATGACTAAATTAAAATAATAACAAAATATCTTCTTAAATTCAAAGTAAATAAAAATGCAGGGATTAGTGACCATATTGTAAAAACACGGCAACGATTGGATGACCGAAAGAAAATAAACTAAAAACTTAATACTAAAAATAAAAATGGAAACAGGAGAAATACATTAATAAATGAAGTAAACTGAAATTAAAGACTAAATTAAAATCAGAGAAACTTGTGGTGGCCACTGAAGTGATTAGACCCCTTAGTCCAAAACGCAAGACAGGGGCAAAACGACGTCGTTTTGCTTGGGCTACAAAGCCCCTTTTTCCTATATTTTTTTTATTTTCACTTTTTCATTCTCTCTCTTCCCATAAAATGCTCTCCCCTCTCTCTTCACTTTCTAAAAGCCGACGACAGACGCAGCTGTCCCGGTCACCACCGATCGTTGTATCGGTCACTGTCTTCGGTGGTCATTCGGGCCCAAAACACGCTTGGATGATCGTTTTGATGCCAATAATTATCGGGGCTCAGGTTTCCTTGGTTCGACACCTAGCTCCACGAAAACGGCCGAGAACATTTTTGCTCCTAACACTCTGATCTCTTCTAGCCACCGTTAGATCGAGTCGATCTCAGAGTATGTTGTTCCCCTCACCACCAAGTTTTATCTCACAATTTGGATTGGCCAAAGGATGTCCTGAACGCTGGTGAATAGCACCAGCCGAGAGATAGACTTCTCTCCCTATTTTTTCTTTCGTTTCATTTTTTCTTTTTGGTGGTTTTGCTTCGAATAAAAAAAATGAAAGAAAGAGAGGATCCTGATTCAAAAAAAGGGAAAATAGATGATAAAAAGTGGGCTTATGATTAAAAAAATAGATTGTAATTCAAAAAAGGAAAACATATTGTAAAAAGGGCTTCCCCATGAATAAGAAACCAAAAGCAATGTAACGACTACTGCCACCATTTCCTCATTATTGCATGCACTAGAAAGACATGCTTCACGCCAAAACCACCATAATTCAAGACAAAGAAAAGAAGAAAATGAGAAGAAAAAAACCATAAAAGGCTTCATTGTTTTTTTACTTTGCTTTTGTAACATGGAAAGTTTCTATAAAACCCAACAAAACATTGTAATCATTGAGCTCTCTCTTAAAAAAAATCCTTGTAACAGAGGATCCCCACCATTGTAAACCATTTAATAGCAATAAAAAATAGAAGCATTTCCTTAAAAACAATTATATTCTTGCACCATTCGAATAAAACAATATAAGTTTTTTCTTTCATTCAGAGCAAAGAACAATAAAAGTGAATCCTCTCACTGAATTGTTTTAACAATTACAAAAAAAGATCGAGAATAGGAGAAACGACTTTACCTTCGGCCAGAGTCTTTGTGGACGTTCGGGAGGTTCGTTCGAGGATTCAAAAAGTTGAGAAGGGGGAGGAGACGCCAATTAACAACATACCTCAGAACCAACTTGATCTGACTACGGACAGCGGCGAGTAGAAAGTCAAGGGGTTCTCGACCCTTTTTCGCGACGATGGAGGCCTCTTCTCGTAAAATGGAGCCCATATCCAAAAACCACTGTTCCTAGATAGAGTTAGCCATAAAATTTGGTGGCCAACAGCGACTGGTGCAGTAACTGGTGATGGACGACAACGTCATTTTCGAGCTCCGACTGGCCTTCTAGAGAGATGTATGAGAGAAATGAAGTGTAGAGAGAGGGAGTTTATGCATAAATAAAAAAAATGCTTATTTATAGGCGCCTTGAAACGGTTTCGTTTTGGCCCATATTGCCCACAGACTTGAAATGACGATGTATGGCCTAAACGCACGTTTTGAGGCTTGAAGGGAAAACCTTCTTCGTGGTCATTGTAACTCTGCCCCGAGTTCATTTTGGTTACCAGATTTGCTTTAATTACTTAATTCAAATCAATTTTTTTCCTTATTTAGTAATTTTCATTTTTATTTTCTAATATTAACTATTGGTTTATTTTCTTTCAGATCCTCCAAATTTTGTCGTGTTTTTACACTTAAGTCATTGTCCTAATTTCAATTTTATTATTTAATTTTGTATTTATTACAATTTAGCCACTATTTTAAATTAATGTGTGTAGCTGCAAATTAGTCTTTTAACTATTCTGTTTTTTGTTTCAATCCCTAGAATTTAAATACATTTTTATTTAGTCCTTAACTTTATTTAATTACAATTTGATCCCTAAATTATTTTTTATCTTAGTCCCTAGACTTTATATTTTTACACCTTAGCCCCTAGACTTTAGTTTTTGACACCTTAGTATGTATACTATAGGGTTTTTTACACTTTAGTCCTTACACTTTAGATTTTTTACACTTAGGTCTTAGGATTTTAGAATTTTACCACCTTAGTCCTTAAATTAAAGGATAACTAGTTTTGGGTTTTCGCATAAAATGCCTGAGTGCT